CTTTGTCCAATTGCATATTCTTGTCTTCTTTGTCATATATTAAGTGAGTGTATAGACATGGATTTATTTCTGGGTTCTCTATTCTGTTTCATTGATCATTGTATCTGGTTTTATGACAGTACCATGCTATTTTGATTACGGTAGGCTTATAGTATAGCTTGATATCAGGTAGTGTGATATCTCCAATTTTGTTCTTCTTTCTCAAGATTGCCACGGCTATTCAGGGTCTTTTGTGGTTCCATATAAATTTTAGAATTATTTGTTCTAGCTCTCTAAAAAATGCCATTGGTATTTTGATAGGGATCGCATTGAATCTATAGATTGCTTTGGGTAGTATGGCCATTTTAATGATGTTGATTCTTTCTACCCATGAGCAAGATATATACTTCCATTTATTTGTATTTTCTTCAATTTCTTTTTTCAATGATATAATTTTCTGAGAATAGGTCTTTTATCTCCTTGGTTAATTTGATGGCCAGATATTTTATTGTTTTTGATGCAATTGTAAATGAGATTGTTTTCTTAATTTCTCTTTCTGAAAGTTCATCATTGGTGTATAAAAATGCCACTGACTTCGATCAGTTCTAGCAGTTTTTTGGTGGAATTTTTAGGGTTCTCTATAGTATCATGTCATCAGCAAATTATGACAGTTTTACTTCTTCCTTTCCAATTTGGATACCTTTTATTTCTCTTTCTTGTCTTATTGCTGTGGCTACTACTTCCAATACAGTGTTGAAGAGGAGTGGTGAAAGTGGGCATCCTTGTTTTGTTCCTGATCTTAAAGAAAATGCTTTTAGCCTTTTCCCAATGAGCCAACATATCGGTCTATAGTTTTTTTTTTTTTTTTTTTAATGCCTTTGTTTGGTTTTGAAATCAAGGTAATGGTGGCCTCATAAATGGAGTTACGGAGACTTCCCTCTTCTTGAATTCTTTGGAATAGTTTGAGAAGAATAGGTGTTAATACTTTGAATGTTTGGTAAAATTCGTTTATGAAGCCATCAGGTCCAGGACTTTTGTTTTTTGGGAGGTTTTTGATTACTGATTTGATTTTATTGGTGGTAATAGATCATTTCAGATATTCTGTTTCTTCTCGATTCAGTCTTGAGAGATTGTATGTTTCTAGGAATGTATCTGGAGTGTCTAACTTGTTGGCGTATAATTGCTCGTATTTTCTTATGATCCTTTGTATTTCTGTGGAGTCCATAATTATTTCTCCTCTTTCATTTCTGATTTTATTTATTTGAGTCCTCTCCTTTTTTTCCTTGATGAGTCTGGTTAAGAGACTGTCAATTTTGTTTATCCTTTCGAAGAACCAGCCCTTGATTTCATTAATATTTTGTATTGTTTTTCTAGACTCTATTTCATTTATTTCTTTTCTGATCTTTATTATTTCCTTCTTTCTATTCACTTTGGGTTTTATTTGCCATTCTTTTTCTAGTTCATTTAAGTGTAAGGTCAGATTGTTTATTTGAGCTTTTTCTTGTTTCTTATATAATCTGATTTTTAATATCCCTTTTGCATTTAATTATTGTTATAATGTTGCAGTTAGTAAAAGAAAGGAACAGTTTATGAAATGAAATGAAATGGTAACATCATAAGGGCTCGAATACAGGAGACATTGCAGCAGATGCAGGGCATGTAATCCTCAAGCCTGCCAATGCCCAGTTCCAGGCCCAAGACTTTTTTGGAGGAGGTCATTCAGCTTCAGCCTCAAGCTGGGATTGAGTAAAGGTGCTTGGGGCAAACATCGCAGCTTTGTCTAGAATGGGCTTCTCTTCCTCACTACACCAACCTCCAAGTAGGGTGGGGTACTGGATTTAGAAATAAGTACTCTGCTTCTATTTTTGTTTTCAGACAGGTAAAAGTCAAATTTATACTACAGAAAATTTGATTTTAAGGATTAGAAATATTTGTATTTGCATCATGTACCCAGTCTTACTACCTCTCTGATTTCTATAAATTAATCCCTTGAAACTTCATGTTCTTTTCATCCATAAAATGGGTATAATAATTTCCCACTTTTAGATTCATTGAAAATTTACATAAGATAAAATGTGCCCATTAAATAACTTACAGCAGTCGCTCAAAATTATGGATTCATTTTTATCCTCGACATCATTCAGAAGCATCGTTTCTTAGCTATATCGACCAAAATTGCACACAACACTTTCCTCCCAAGTGGTTGCATTGGGAGCTGTATGAAACAATTAAAGGTTAGAATAAAATGAAGTTGTAAAAAAATGCTACACTTATATTCCTCCATGGGCCTCCACATTGAGTCTTTCATCACAGTCAGGCCCAAACAGCTGCGTTCTCCAGAGATGTCTCAGAGGCAGACTGTCCTGGCAGTCCCAGCCCACTGCCAGCCATCTCTGGCCTTAGGATACCACCTAACCTCACTGAAATCATGGTTTCATGGTCATAAAATGATGTGATGGCGGTGCCATATCACAGACTTGCTATGAGATCATGTGTGTGCAATAGTACTACTCAAACTGAAGCAGCATCTGGACTAACAGGAGGGCTTGTTCATATGCAGGTTCTTGCGCCCCATCCCCTGAGGCTCTGGTTGAGCAGGCCTGCAGTGGGGCTAGGCAATGTGCATTTCTAACAGTGCTGGGGGTGTCTATGCTGTTAGTCAGGTCCACTCCCTGAGAAGCCAGATGCACAGTACTTAATACAGACCAGCACCTAATAGAGCAACATGTTACCCACTTTACAAACACTTTTATGACTACCGTTACTACTACTTAACACCTTTTTCATATTATAAAATCTGTTGGAGATTTTATGTCTCCTTTCAGGTGTCCCTCCACCTAGGGACTCATATGTGTACTGACAGTATGGGTTTCCTGCTGCTTTCCAGGAACCTTCTCTAACTTCACTTCCATAAACCCTATCAGATCCACAGCACAGGTAATTTTAACACTATTTCATGGATCAGGAAACTGAGGCATGGAGAAGTTGCCTACTGGCTTGGACCCAGCTAGGATAGGACAAAGCAAAAAATATCCTGGGTTTTGTAAGTTCAAGGATCCTGTTAATTTGTCTCCTCATTGCCCCATGTCATCCAACCACTGAGATTTTTGTTTTCCTGGAATGGCCTCATGTGTTTTCTTGACCTTACGGTGGTTATTTTGACAAAATGCAGTCACCGTCTAATTGACAGTGACTACATGAGATATGATCTATGATAAAAGAAAAAAGAAACTAAAGTCATACTAATGTCAAAGATTTCCTTGTGAAAAGCATTTGGAACTTGGAGTGGGGGAGTCTTGGCTTCATCGATATGCTGCTTGATCTACTCTGACATCACTATCCCTACCCCCAGCACCTCTGGGCAGCAGGAGGCATTGGTGGCAACCACAAAGCACCATGGAGAGACGGCTCTGGCTTGCCTCTCTCCAGTGCCCAGTGTAGAATTCCTAGCTGGCTTGCCCAAGAAAGCACTGATTTAATTTAGTGGAATGACTCTCAGACTCTGTCCATTCTATTGTGTGTGCACACTCTCCCTTTAGCAGCTGCCTCCTCCCCTCAAATGCCTGCTGAAGATTTTGTCTGTATTCAGGCTGTAGAGGCACAAATAGCATGCATGGCACCCTTGTGGCTGAGCTGAAGCCTGTGTGTCAGGTATAGGCGCACTTAGGTCTGCAGCATAACCCAGAACCACGCAGCTGTGGACTGTAAAGGAGAGAGCCGCATGGGCCTGGCATCAGCCTGGGAGTTTCCATGTGGAAAGATTTGGATGTAAGTCCTGTGAAGGGCACTCACCTCCAGAGATTTCTCTGCTGTGGTCCCACTGAAGGGAAATCCACCTTCAAAGCACAATGAAGAAAAGGATTGAGAGCCAGGGATCCCTAGGGTTCTCTTCTGATTCCAACAGTGAAGGCAACCCCTACACGCTGGCCTTCAACTTTAAGAAATGTGACCAGAGGCCTCCCCAGAAACTGTGTTTCACATTCACTGTTGAACAAATAATCAGAATCCTCTTTATCATTGAAGGTATTAAACATCATGACTCATCAGGCCCAAGTCTAACAGGTTCTTACACTGTGAAAAATAAAATTATTTTCTAGGAAAGGACTCTAAATGCCAATCTCTGCAATTGTGACCTTGATTTTTTTTATAGTTACAATCTTTCAGACAAAAACTTTATGCATAGTTTGCCTTGCTCCAGAGACAGAGTCTTCACCCCCAGCTATGTGGAGCAGCCAGGACAGGGACAGCTTCTCAATCTGGCTGCATAGGCAATCTTTCCCTGTGCTGCCCCCATTTATCCAGGGCTCACTTCCTCCAGGTACCCTACAGATTCTTTTATAGGATGTTTACTCTTATTTCTTTGAACAGGTAACACCTGTCCTAGTGAAATCTAAGGTAAAAATATCAATTGCATTCTAAGATTTGACGATTAAAATATAGCTCCAATGTTAACAGTGCCCTCCTGCTTTGAGTGGGTGGGAGAGGGGCAGTAAAACCTGCCCTCAGTAGACTCAGCCCCAGGAGGCTGTGAGTGAGCATGACCACTCCATACCATTTCCTCTAGCACAACAAAAGTTTGGGAGGAGTATACAGGCTGCTGTGAAACTAGAATCTATTTTATATGTATGAGCTTTTCAGAAAGAAAACAAAATGCTTGACTCCTTTCTTAGTAAGTCAGACATCCTCACCCTGGGCATGGTGTTTCCCAGTGCTGGGTCAATTCCACTGGCAGGGTCCAAGTGCCTGCTTGAATTCCAAGCTCCCCAAACTATCTGCTTTTTCCTAGTGGACACCTGTTTCTCTCACGCAGCCCTCTTCCTGAAGATTGCCTACCTTGCCCCAGGCGCCACGGGGCAGTCCCACAATGACAATGAGATGAGGGGGCCTTGACTTCCTCTGGCCTGTTCTCCAACTGTAAAGTACAGACCCTACTGGTGGCATGAGCTGAATGGCTTCTTGGGCTCTCCTCCTCATTGGCCTGGGTGTGCTGCATGTGTGTGACTGATGGAGGGAGGCCTTACCTCATGGGACAGGTAGAAGGCAATGATGCCCAAAGGCCAGAAGCAGCAGAGCATGGAGAAGACACTGAGGCCCAGGTGGTCCCGTGGGGGCATCATGAGGAAGTTGTCCTCGCTCTCTGTATCACTCGAGTAGTTGCTCTGCAAGAGAGAAATGTGTTGGAATGGAAGAGAAGAGCGGATTAATAAAGGAACCAGTCTACGAAGCACTCTGAATGTGGAAGTGGAACCTGGAATAAGGAGAAGCCCTCAGGAAGGTCACTATTGTTGTTATTGCTTGCAGGTACTTCCTCCCAGAAGGAATGCTCCAGAGGAGAAAACTCTTGCCAATAACAGGAAGAGAAAACTCCCAGGTACAGGGCTCTTGGGTCATCCCTCAGAAGATAAAATTTTACAGAAGCCAATTACTTCACAGATCTTTCGGATGGAGCTTTGGACGGTGGGGGTAAAGGTCTAATTTATCAGAGGATAGAATTTGGCACTCTCAGAAGGCACACATACCAGTATGTAGATTCCCCTCCTTATTATGAGACAGAGGGATTTTTAAGAAGTAGCAGGGATAATTCCAACACTGACCAAACCTCCTCTCAGAGGGCATACCAGTGCTCCATGATGCTAAAGGGCTGGGTCCTGCCAATGCGCTTCCACTCTACATGCCTGGGTAGAGGATGCTTTTGCTCTAATTGATTATCTAATTTGTGGCACTCCACTGCAAATTTTCTCCTCGTTAGCACATGGCACACTCATACAAACTCATCCTAAACCAAGGCTACTCTATGTGCTTATTTTATACAGAAATGGAGTCACATTTTACTCCACCTTTTCTTTTCTAAAAAAGAAATGGAACATTTCCTTCTGAAAGAGGGTCATTAGCTTCCTAGCTTCCTTTGTCAGCTACAGGAGGTTATTAAACATGTGGCCTCTTGTTGCAGGCTGGAGACATTCTGGATCACACTGCAGTGCATGCTGGCCACTTCCTCAGGTGGCTTCAGAGGCAGTCACTTGAGGCACCAGATGAATACTCGGGTGGGTACTCGTGTGAATCTAACACCTACATGAATGCCATTGACATTAAGACCACCACAGCAGTGTCCCTCTTGCCTCACCTGACATTCCTACATAGCCAGACACAGATGAAGCCCACAGATGATGAAGGTACTTTTTAAAAAATTTTTGGTTAATTAAAATGCACATAAAATGCCAATAAGAGTCTCTAATCAGCATGTAGACAGCTGTGGTGCTGTAGAAAAATGATAGAAGCTTCCTGTTAGGACTGCTTTTATCTAGTTGACTGAGAGAAAACAGGAATTCTGATGCGCTCACTCAAATCACAAACAAGGACCTTCTTTGGAGGGTCTCATAATGGAAGTGGGTGACGCACTATCTACACAGCAACTGTCCACAACAGACCTGCAGGACAGGAGCTCTGAGGCATCACATTTTAGAGAGGGCCACCTCCTCCTGCTGGGCGGGCATTGTCTCTGCCCAGGTTAGTCACTGTCACTGATGAGTTTAAGACCACACAACATTCCCTCACAGAGCTGTGTCTGTGAAATTTATAGTCTTTTTACTCTGCAGCATCACTTCCCATATGGTCTCCTAAACAATAAAGGGAAATGAAAATTACTGTCTTTATATCTGTCAGAGAAGGGAACTAAATAGCCCTCAGGGATACATAATTCATGGGTGAGATTCATGGGTAGACTGAGGGTTGCCTGAGTAGAGATGCACAATTGTCAGCTGCTGGGAAGTCGAAATGTTTGATTCAAATGATGGCTGTGTAGTGTTGCCAGGCAGTCTGAATGTCTTCATAGTTGTTTCTCTTTACAGATAAGCAGCTATATCAACTATATGGTCTCCAGAACCTTGCTCTGGAAATAAGTGACCTGGAATGTCAGGGCTATATTGGAAAGGCTGAGCTGCACTTTGAAGGTCCCTCTGCATGAAATTCTGGGAAAGGAGGAACCTACAGTACCATTCCAGGGCAGGCCATGTCCAAAGAGTCCCCTTGGAGAGGTAGAGAACCAGGACTGAAAGGACAGCCACTTTTTCTAGCCCTCAACTCAGACCCTGAGCTAATGAACTTCATGCTGATGGGTGAAGATACTGCTGGTGAGTGTCGTCACACAGCCCTGTCTGAGGATATTTATTTAGGTTTTCTTTTTCTTTTTTTTCCACTAACAGTTTTATATACCTGAGCTGGCTGGATTCTCACAGCAACTCTGGAAATAGGTGTTGTTCCTTTTTTTTATTGTTATTTCTGTTTTACCAAGGACAAAATTGGGCTCTGAGAAGTTAAAATCTTGAACCACCCAGTCAGTGGTTTCTCACTCCAGAGCTCTGTATTATATGCTGTGTTTGGACACCAAAACATGGCTATAAGAAAACTCCATTTTGTCTTAATTGCTTCTCCAAAGATGAGGTGCCTCCTCTGCTCTAGGGATTCTGATGACTTTGCTTCTTGACTAGTCTGTTTCATGGCAATGACAGGGTGGCCAGTTGAAAGTTTTCCCAATCAAAGAGCCAGTGCTGTGTGAACTGCTCTCCTAGACAACATAGGCATCCTGGCAGCATAGACTTCTGTCTTCGGAAACTAATTAGAATTACACCACTATCCACATGAAGTAAAGAATTAGATTTCAGGATACCCACCCCCCCACACCAAAACCTTCACAGATTTTTATTTAGAAGTATAAGTGAAGCACACTCTGTAAATTGCAAAGTTGTGTCTACACCAAAACGATTAGTCAATTTTGATTAAAATAGATTCCAACAAATTACAGAGCATACAAAACAGCCCAGCTATTTTTATGTTCTTTCTTTCACTAGTGGACTACAAGTGACCATGGACATCGTGGACCAAATAGCAAGGAGAGGAGGCCCAGAGAGTACAGGACATGGAACAGGACTGGACTTCAAGCAGCCCAGAATCCAGGACTTCCTATGGAAGCTCACTTTCTAGAAGCACATGTACAAGAATGTAAGGGTGTTCATTCTAGAGTGTTCCTGACAATACTGTTTAAAAACAGAAAAATTATGAAAGAATTCTATGTAGAATTCTACACAGTAATGAAATAGATGGTACAGATGTTTATTTATTGCCCTGGAAAAGTTTTTCTTTTTAAAATAATAACTGAAGAAAAAAACCAGGGTAGAAAGTAGAATATATCATTTCTTTCACGATGGCAGAAATTAGATGCTTCTGGATGATAGGCATATTGTTGACTTTTTTCTTTCTTTTTGCATTTCTGGGTTTCAGGTTTTTTGTTTTTTGATTTTTTTGTTTTTTGTTTTTGTTTTGTTTTGTTTTGTTTTGTTTTTTTTTTACAAAAAGCAAGGTTTCTTTGACAATGGAAATTATAAAGGTGCAGATGTGCTAACAGGTGCAGGGGTCTCTATCTTTCCTCTGTCCTCACAAAGAATCCTGTGGAATCTGGTTTCCTTGAGACTCAGCATTGAGAAAGCATAGAACGTGCCCATTGCCCAACGAGCAGCTGGTGGAGCAAGATTTGAAGAAACCCAACATTACCCAAAGTAGCTTACTGAGATGCAGGTCAGTCAGATATGACCACTTGTCCTTTGGACCTGTCTCACTGTGGGTCAAGATCAGAGGCCTCAGAGCTGCCCATGATGTCCACATCTGTGCTGACTAGTGCAGCAGCCATTGCCACATGGAGTTATTTAAACTTAAATTATCTAAAATCAAATATACCTAACAATTAGTACTTCAGCCACACTACCATATGCCTGTGCTTAGTAGCCAGAGGCTGTTAGTGCCTATCACACTAAATAGCATAGATGTAGAGCATTTTCATCAAATCAGGAAGTTCTATTTTGCTGTTTTTATAGGTATGACCTCTATTAACTCTGATCTCCTCTCTTCCACCCACAGGAGCTCTTGGTAATTCCTCCAACATGCCCAGCATGCTCCTTCCTCAAGGTCCTTGCTCTTGCTGTTCCCTCAACCCAGAATTCTCTTCCCCAGATATGCACATGACTAGCTTCCTCACTTCATTCAGAGCTTTGCTCGTATTCCACTTCTCATTAGAGCTTTCTCAGATACCCTTGCCAGACTGTCACAGCTGTCTCCCACCACTATTCTCTTAACTGCCTGGTGGGCATGAGCTTATTTACTATCTGACTCCTTTACTCTTAGCACCAGGAAGGCAGAAATCTTTGTATGGCTTATTTATAGTTATACTCCGAGTGCCTACAATAGTTCCTGGCATACACTAGACATCTAATGTACACATTTCAAATAAATGAAGAATTCATGCGTGCACTTAGACAACACGAATGGCACCAACTGAAGCAGCAAAGCTCCCAGAGTTTACCCAGAGTTCCCTGGGCTTCCTTTGGGCTCATCAGAGCACATGAATGCACCGTCTTCAGTCCTTAAACCCTACCTTGGATCCTCTCTTTCCCCACCTGAAATGACTTCCCTATGCACTCCAGAATGCACATTCTAACTATCCATTTAGGTGAGCCCACAGGGAAGATGAGGGAGAATGATGACTCTGTCAGGTACAAGGCTATCTTACTCAGGGCAGATGATGAAGAAAATTAAGAATAAACTATGGCCAGAATGCAGGCAGGTGGATGAAGCTCCCCAATCTGTGTGTGCCTCTCAGGGGCACACTCGATGTTCTATGGTCTTGACAGCCATCATGAAACATGACATTTCCCTTTACATCAGAAGACTGGAGAAGTATAGGTAAGCACCTTTGATACCCCAGACAGGTCAATACCTAAAAGAGCTTCTACTGCCAAAGAAGGAAATAATTCCCAATGAGCCATGTTGGCAAGGCCAATGTCTGGGTTTTGAGGTCTGATGTCCTTGCAGGGCCAGCACTGGGACTATTTTCCTTCACTTGAACCATTGAGGTGGGCCACAGGGGCCTATCTGTGTCCACTAAGGGGTTTTCTGTAGGCTGTGGAAGATCAGGTGAAATCATTGTTGTCACACCAGGCTCTCCCCAATACCTTGAAGCCCACTGGCCTCCCTTTTACTTCAAATCAGATCACATAAAAATCACAGATGTCTGCTGAAGACACACTCTGTGTAATGCACACATGGCTTGCAGATACAAGGATGTATAGAGATCTGGGATTTCAATAACATGAAATGCAAGGGAACCACA